CTAAGTTTTTGACAGTATGTACCAGTCCCCAAATGGAATCGAAATGCTAGTGCAGAGCAGTTTAATGGTCAGATCACAACACAGTAATGGACCCAGAGATGTTGGAACGCAAGAGGGCAAAGCGATTTCAATTTACATTGCAACCATCACTAGCAAAGCCCAGAGCAATGACATCTAGAAAAGGAAAGGGTTATGCTGCTCAACTGACTGGCATTAATCCAACATGCAGAAAAACAAATTCCGAGTTCAAGTATCTTTTAATCATAATACCCCAACAATTGATATCAAATCACAGGAGCAGACTGACATCCCCTTAGAGGAATCAACTTCATTTGGACCTAAATGAGCATCTCCACGTCTTTCAATGGCAATTTAATGACTTTGCCAGGTAGCTATGACGTTTCTAAAATTAGCAGGATACACTCTCCATGAGTAAAAGTACGGAGTTCTAGCACTTTAATGGGTGCTGAACTCCACTTTTTTATGGCAGCTATAGGAATTTTTAGAATTTGTACTTCTAGCAAATGCTTCTTTAATTTCCAGACACTCTCCAGTCTACCTCGTAGCCTCATTCCTTAACCTGAATTCACATAATTTTTAAAGTGGTTTTCAAACAACACAAATTGGCAATTTAAAATTACAAATAGAATCTAACAGTTAAGAGACATCTTGTTCATCTTGACTGTTTTGATCAGTTATATAAACAAAACACACGCTTCTATTTTTGGCTGCTGACGGAAGTTGCTAGAATGTTCTCCTGTGGACTGTTTACTAGATTAAGGTTACTGGTAGCTATATAATGGTAGAGACTAGGAAATTTAATCAGGATCAGGGCTCCAGTGTGCTTTACACCTATGTTTTAGTGACAATTCTTGACCCAAATACTTGGCAGGTCAAATTTTAAGTGCCAAACAGTAGGAGGGAACCGTGAAGGTGAAAGGAACCAAGAAGATGTTCCTGATGGTTCAGAGGTTTCTTTGGATGGGTGGGAATAGGGATTAAATTTAAAAATAAATTAAGGTTGATATCCCCAAGAGAGACTTATTTTAGGTACTTTAAAGCTAGAGATGTAAAATCCCATTTAACTGGTTAACCGTTAGGTCTAATCAGTTAACTGCTTATTTGGGATCCTGCAAGCACGGGTGTGGTGAGCCTGGCATGGCTGGAGCAGCCTCCCTACCTGCAGTATTGCCAGAAGGCTGCTCCAGCCCGTCTGAACCAACCACACAGTGGGCTACCCCAGCTAGATTGGGGTGAGCCCACCGTGGATGAGGGCTACTCGGGTTGGGCCTGCTGCATTGTGGGTGGGGAGCTGCTCCAGCTCAGCTGGACTGCCGGTAATCTAGTTATTGGTAAGAAACACCTGGTAAGGGTGATGCTCACCAATTAATCGGTTACATCCCTACTCTAAGCACCTGCCACATCCTTGGAGCTACATCAATATTCACCAATTGAGGATCTGGCCCTACATGCTTCATTCTACAGCTGCTGATAAATTTTCCAGTGGAATACTTTTCTGTTGGAAAAGGCTGTTGCAACAAAAATGCAATGTTTCCTACAAATGTTTCCTGGAGATTGAATTGAAAACGTCAACAAGATTCACTTCAATAAACATATAATGTCAAACAAAAATGCTTCAATGAGTTGTTTCAATAATTAAAAAAAACATAGGGGAAATTGTTCAAAAGAATTTGACATTTCATTCCAGTTTGGATCTAAAGGAAATTTTGAACGGTTAGAATTTCCTGCAGAATGGAGATTCTAAGTTTTGATCAGCAAAGCTTCATTTAAAGTGTCTCTCCCCTACCCCCCACTTTGTGAGTTTTTAAAACAAAATGGTCAAACCAGCAGCTGCTTTCACAAAAGGGAAAACATTTCCTTCAACTTTTATGAGCTTCATGATTTTGCACCGTTTAGGCATTGCCACCAAATTATCCTATCAAAGATTCTGAAACTAGTCCTTACATATATCTTGAGAGCAAAGCCACACATTACAATGAGCGGAGTTCATGGTGTGTATAACTAGGTAGATTCCACGTTTTAATGCTGGGGATTTTGGCCTCTCATTAGTATATAGAGTTATCCCACAGATATCTTACCAGTGTGGTTACACCCACACGTACTTTGAAGAACAAGGCCATTGATATCCAATGTCAACATAAGCAAGTGATTTAATGCACATTTGGTCAAATTACAAGATACCTATTACTCAGCTGAGAACCCTCTAACAGAAATAATAAATATGCACATCAAGCACCTAAGCACCTCAGCAGCTGATAAACTGAGATAACACAGAAGTTATACACCAGCAAGTTGCCTAACAGCAAGCTAACCTTGGCCCAGGAATTAAAAAACAGAAATAGGAGCTCATTCCCCTACTGTAATAAGGGAAAGTCTATTAATAAAGTTAAGAAGATCTAGAGTTCTATACCTAAAAGCCAAAATACTACACTGCAGACGAGGTTCTCAAATTTCATTGCAACACAACCCTCTCCTGGGTAGAGCAGTAATTTTTATTGTCAGGCAGGGGGGACTGAAACCAGAGCTCACCTGAGTCTGGCTGCACTGTAATGTGGGGGCTAAAACTGAAGCCCAGTTGTAGCCCCAGGTAGGGTGCCTGTAAACCTGAACCCTGCCACCAAGAGCAGAAGCTTTCAGGCTTTGGCCCTAGGTGGTGACATTTTAGCTCAGGCTTCAGCCCTGAGCCCCAAACAGTCTAACACCAGCTTTGGCAACCCCATTAAACAGGGTCTCGAACCACTACAACTGAAGGGTTTTTATTAGTAACGGCTTGTCCAATTGAGAAATTTCGCAAGTTACACATTACATGCTATCAGTTGACATGCGATGAATTCCTTATGTTTCACTGAGTAGCACAATAGCAAGTATTAAGAGCTCTGGGACTATTTAAGGGAAAGCAAATCTATTCTAGGGTTTATACAGAAATCTTATGTCACAGTGTTGCACCTTTCTGTACCAAGATTTGTTCCCCCCCTGCACAGAGTCAGTAGAGCATGCTGTACACACTTGTCACATTGCACATGGAAAGATTTTAACACCACTTTTCTGGTGAGATCTCTGCATTTCATGGGAGGATACAAGCAGCAAGAAGTTTGTCAGAGGGGTATTACACTCAAAAGTCTAAACAAAAAAAAATATGGAAAACCTCTTTTCAGATAAAAAATGTAAAATAAGAACCAAACACTATCCCTCTTCAAAGAATGTTCAGCCATTTGACACTAGGGCTACGTCTACACTGGCCCCTTTTCCGGAAGGGGCATGTAAATTTCACTAGTCGTCGTAGGGAAATCCACGGGGGATTTAAATATCCCCCGTGGCATTTAAATAAAAATGTCCGCCGCTTTTTTCCGGCTTTTAAAAAAGCCGGAAAAGAGCGTCTAGACTGGCCCCGATCCTCCGGAAAAAGTGCCCTTTTCCGGAGGCTCTTATTCTTACTTTGAAGTGCCCTTTTCCGGAGGATCGGGGCCAGTCTAGACGCTCTTTTCCGGCTTTTTTAAAAGCCGGAAAAAAGCGGCGGACATTTTTATTTAAATGCCACGGGGGATATTTAAATCCCCCGTGGATTTCCCTACGACGACTAGTGAAATTTACATGCCCCTTCCGGAAAAGGGGCCAGTGTAGACGTAGCCCTCGTGGTGAGGCAAATACCAGAAAGGGAACCATTCATAACTACTCTGATTAGTCTTTCAACTAGTTGTGCACTCATCTTACAGTAATTTCATACAGAACACATCTTTCTAGTTTACTATGACAATGTCAACATTAGAATGTGTTAAAATCCTTAACAAAAATTAAGATATATCACACATACAGTTCCCCATTAACTAGGCCTGTAACCCTGCCAAAAGAAGAAAATTAGGTTGATTTGGCCTAACTTGTTCTTGACAAATCCATATTGTATATTTCTTATAACCCTACTATCTTCTAGTGCTTACAAACTGAATAATAATTTGCTCCAGCATCTTTCCAGGTATCAAAGTTGTACTGACTGGTCTATAACTTCCCAAGTCTTCTCCTTCTGCCCCTTTTTAAGATGATGGGTACATTGATCTACCCTTCTCCAGTTCTTTAGGAGCTAACTCATCCTCTATGAGTTCTTGAAGATCATCACTGACAGTCCTGAGACTGCTTCAACTACTTCCTTAAGTACCTCAGTGTGAATTTTAATCAGGCCCTGCTCACTTGAATATAATTTAACTAATGAT